GGGGAGGGGGGGGGGGGGGGGGGCGGGGGGGAGGCAGGGAAAAATGAGAATTCATTATGGGTCAAACAGAATAGTTAATTTGAACTAAAATGAAATTGCTTATTTACTAAAAGCAAAGAATTTTGGAAACTGGCCTAGAGTTTCACAAAGGGAGTTAAAAACAATTCCCAAAATGAAGAAGGAAGTCTCCACCCCTTCCCCTGCAAACACACTCTATATGTTAAAACAAACTCTGGTTAATTCACTACTTTAAGGGCAATACAAATATTTATAATGTATCCAACTGGGCATGTCTACATGTGTCTCTTTTAAGCAGGCTTAGCCTAAAATTGCCATTTTGAAGGCACTTAAAGGGCACATGTCTACACGTGCGTGCACTTAATGTGCCTTAAAAATGGCAATTTAAGGCTATGTAAGCCTAAATTTGATACCTGCATAAAGCAGGTATGAAATTTAGGTGCAAATAGCTAAGTCATATTAGCACATGTGTAGACACACTAATGCGCATTAACGCAGTGTGAGTCAATGGATAGACACTGTGTTAATGTGCATTAGCATGTCTGCACATGCGCTAATGTGACTTAGCTATTCACGCCTAAATTTAATGCACCTTAATATGCATTAGCACATCCACATGTAGATGCGCACCTAAATTGCCTTAATGCACCTTAAGCAAAGGCCCATTAAGTTTAAACATGCATAAACACATGTGTATACATGCCTACTGTGACCAGTTATCATGAGTAGATATTTGGTGGGGATGGGGGGGAGTGAGGGGGAAGGGAAAGGGAAGCACTCTTAGGCAATCGGAACAATGGTACTGAATTATCCCATAGGCCAATTAAACAGAGTTTACTGTATTACTTGGGGTATTCATGCAGCAGATGGGAGAGGCTGTTTCATATTCTTCCTGTGAGAGATTTAGAACAGTGATTGTGCTTTGGTCTCCTACATCCTATATACTACCCTAACCATTGGGATATAGGATTCACTGGGCTCTTGGTTTGTCCTTGTCTCCTGTTGAAATCGGTCCACTTTGTATAACCAATTAAATATTCATTGGGTCAGAAACTGTGAGAGAATGACTCTAGCCTTACAGTTACAGCACTCAGCTAAAGGGAAAAGGGAGGAAGCACCCAGGTATCAGTTTCTGTGCTAATTAATGTTAATTAGTTACAGAAATGGAATTGCTTCAACAGGAAACAATGACAGAACCACACCTTAGCATGTCTTGTAACCCAGTGAATAGAGCATTTACACACACAGAAGGGATCAGATCCAAAAAACCCACACTCAGGCACTAGGATACTAAGTGATACCATGCCTAACTTTTAGGTGTGTAGCTGTGGGCATGGAATCCACAAACCCAAGTTAAGTTCCTCAGTTCCCTATACCTTAAATGTAGAGAGTTAGCTGCCTAGAAATGGGATTCAAAAAGCTCAAGAAGTTAAGTGAAGGGAACCTTAGCCATCCAACAGGAAATGCTGAAAGTGGGGAGGGACAGGTCTAAAATCCTGCCTTTCTTTTGAACTAAGTCATCTAACTTAGGGCAGCTGGCAGCTGAGACTGGAATCCAAAGCTAGGAATCCTCACCTAGATTTAGGTGCCTATGTCAACCCTTTGCTCACAGACTACTGACTCACTATTTTAAGATACAGGTGGTGCTCACATTTTGAATAATAGCTTCTCCCTTTGGCTCCATGACTTCTGCGTGTCTTTTGACTTAGTGTTGGATGGCCTAACTTCAACAATTGAATTGGAAAGTACCCTCAACCCAGCCTAACCTATTGTGCAGTGATTAGGAAGCTCTAATAGGAGGTGGAAAATCTGAGTAAGAACCACCTCAGGAGGAGCAAGCCCTATTAACTGCATCTCCCATTTCTTGGAAAAGTGCTCTAACCACTAGGCAGATGGGCCTTCCACCACATGTGTTTTCAGTTAAATCATAGATGCTGAATTCAGTAGCATCAATGTGTGTTAGGCAGGCTCTGAGCACACCACCCAGACTGTGCCTGTGAGTCCGTACTGTTGCATCTCTCACAGTGGCCAGGCACTTGAGAAGGTGATGCAGGAAACATCAGAGGGGGTGAACAACTGTAGAATAACCTGACAATAGAGGAATTTTCTTTCTAACCCTTGTGAATTGATGGCTGGCTTCTACCTTGAAGCATGAGAGATTTTAACACACACACAAATTGTCTATTATACCTTCTAATAGAACAAATGATTGGTGTGCTCCCCAAATCCCATCTACTACTCATCTCAAGCAACAAAACAAAAGTAAGTAGGTCTTGCTGAATATAAAACTATTTAGCAAAGAGCCATATGTATCCCAGTAAAAATGTATTACACAATTAAATAGTTATTATAGGATAAAAATTATGTGGACGGTCAATCCTCAGACTTCAGAACAAAAGACAAACAGCTGGAGACAGGAAGATATGTCCCCCATAATGCAATACATCAGATTGCCTCATTATGTATAGTACAGATGTGTTTACAGAATCTTCTAAAGAATCTGGTATAAGTGACTATCAGAGACAGGATGCTGAACTAGACAAGCCGTTGGCCTCTTCCCTATGGCAATTCTTATGCTCCTAATTAATTTCTTTCATTGAAATTCCAGCGGCCAGGGAAGAGGGAATCTCAAGTTTTCATCTTACCCTGAGTATTGTTTTGGATTTTCCTTGACTTGTTTATTTTACAAAAGTTATATAGCAAGATGCAGAGATATTCTTTATTTAATAATATTCCATTTATAGAAATACTAAGGAGTTCAGATTAAATTAAATACATCTGAAGGGATCTAGGAGCCACGTTACTTTAGATCTAACATTTTTTTCCAGAAAGAGAGAGAGAAATTGTCATGAAGGAATTATCAGCATATGAAGTAATGATAATAAAAAAATTAAAAACATTCCATCGTAATTTTAAGCAATAAGAATATGATTAAGCATAGAAACACCTCTCACCTTATTAAACCTGTTTTAGGCCTGTGAATCAAATGCCACCTGTAGGCAGTATAATCTTTCCAGCCAATGTTCTTGGGGTCATGCCACAATGTACGAACCTACAGCAGGATTACAAGCAGGTCATTAGAAAAAAAAATTGCACTGTAGGAACTGGCAAACAATCACAGACTATTTTCTTCAAGGCATCAGAATAAACATAGTTTTACAATTTGCTAATACGAGCTATGTCCCATTCCCTCAGTCCTGATCACCTATCTTAAGTCTCAGAAAAAATGCTAACTTCAATTATACAACATATGTTCCTCAAGCAACAGGATCCATTTATAGTCCATAGACTTTTTTTTCTTCAGAAGGGACCTTAAATAAGGGCTGGGCAAACTTTTGCCACTGTGGGCCATTGCTTGCAACCCAGCCCCTACTGTGGGCTGCAAATTTCTGAAACCCCTATCAGTCAGCAGATGCTGTGGAGGAAATATATATAAAAAAGGAGGAGGCAGCACTCTTTAGAGGGCAGGAGAGGAAATAAACTGAGCATGGCAAGCAGTAGGATCCTGTAGATGTCTCCCCTACTGCTCTGGCTGGAGAGTGCTGCTGATTCTCTGAGCTGCTACAGGCTGAATCACATCTTTTCATGAGCCAAATCTCGGCCACAGAACATAGGTTGCCAACCCCTATCTGAGATCACAAATACATACATCCTTCCTCATATAGATCTGACTGTGTTACCTTTTTCAATCTCAGGGCTTTCCAATGGCAGGGATGAGGCAGGAAGTGGAAGTTGGAGGAGGGAAAGGAAACCTGGACACCCCAGCAGCAGCAGGAGAGTGATGGGGGTAATAGCACCTGGACTGGGAGCCTAGGGGCTTCAGGTTAACACCCCAGGTGCTACGTGTAGTTCACAGGCCACTAGTTGGACAGCCCTGACCTACATGAACAGTTTCACAGAAGAAAACAGGACTAATCTTTGAGTAAGCACTTCTACAGGATTGGATAATTACATATAGTATACTTTTCCCAAAACTGTCAAAATAGAAGACATTTAGGGTAAAGCCCTGATCCTGCACTGAATGCAGTTCTGTTGAATCCCTGCACACGTGCCTCAGTGGATTCAAACAAATATATTCCTATCATTCCAGTAAGACAGGATGCCCAAAATGTGGGTATTTAAATACCGGTCTGAACAAAAGGCCATGAAGGGCTTGAAGAAGTACTGAAATACTAACCAGATTTCTAAGCTGGAAGACCCACCCTCCAGTCATTTTTCAGGTTCCCTTGACCAACTGTGATGGATTGATTTTATATATATACTTTGCCCATTACTTTGAAACACAATAAAATACATATGTGTATATAAAATAATTATAAAAACAATTTGCAATTTATCCACGAAATAAGATAGCAAAGAAAATTGATTCCCTCCAGGCCTGCTTTTTGATAACAGATTTTTGGGGAGCTCCTTTTTACTTTGTCATTTGTTCACTACCATTGGTTTGAACTCTTAATTCTCTTACCTGTCCAGGTGTATTTCCTGTGTGCCAGAGAGCATTTCTTAAGTGCTCACCAGCACCAGTCGTGGAGTTCACTACTTTCAGTGACACGCCAGAATAACCATAAGCCCTGGTGGGCTTGTCCTCCCAATAGGTCTGGGTGACTTGCTTCCACATCAAAACATAAAATCGACTGCTTGACTGATAGCCAAACACAAACCCAGCATAATCATCATCACGGTCTGTATTAACGTAGAAGGTGCCACTGAAGTCAACAGAGCTGAACTCATCATAACCTGGCAGAAATACAAGGTGTTCAGTTTCTTGATGCGTGCAAATTCAGAATGCTTGAAAGCTTGAACTATCACCCTCTTGTTCTTAACTAGATGATTGCAACAATTCTACTGCTGGGGTGGCACATTTCTAGTGGTCCTTTTTCATGTTGGGGAAAATGAAGTCAGACGGACTGCTTATATGGTACTTATGTATCTGAAGATGAGAAAATATCTCCTCTTTTTTTAGCTTTATTGCTGCATAATCCTCATTTCTCTGTGTCTTCCTCTCAGTAAATATGTTGATCTACTGCTACCAAACAAAATGACTTAATGGTTTTCTTCAGAAAAGACTGTAAGGATTCCTATATTAGTATCTCTCACTATACCAGTCTGGAGAAAAAGGGAGGCCTTTGATGGGAAAACAACTACTGTAACACATATCTGCAAAGTCTTCCTCAGTCCTGGTTTACTTGAATCAAACAACTCCTGTCCCTTTTGGCTAAAATAATTCCTTCTATAAAAGCATGACTCAAAGCTGGCCTAACAAAAAATAGTCAATAAACTGAAATGAATCTAGAAAAAAGGTAATTAAAACCACACATGCACATGCATTTATTGGCTTAGGAACATAAGATAGGAAAGGGTCTTCTGTGATTGCCTGGTATCACAGTCAACCATGTTGGATAATCTTGTTTATATATTCATCAATCATCATCTTAAAAATCAACTAAGCCTTGAGAGAGAGGAATCACATCACCTATCAGCCTTTGTTACTCTAGATTCAACAAGGCAGGGTCTTCTAGGATATGACTACACTGTAATCCAAGGACATGATTGTAGCTCGTGCAAACAGACCCAAACTGCTTGAAATTGTCTAGTTCGGACGTAGATAGCAGTATAGTTATGACAGCACAAAGCTCAGCATAGGTGAGCCACTCAAGGTCCTGCACAGGTTTTGAAGCTAATGCTGAACCCCAGGCTGGTGTGCCTATGCTGTTCTCAGTACCTGAGCTAGTTAGTTTACAGCTAGATTGGGTAAGACTATATGAACTGCAATCACACCTTTGGATTGCAGTGCCAATCCACAATAAATCCCCTTTCATAAGATAGGCACATTCTCATGTATATGTGCTCATTTGATAAACAAACAAACAAACAACAATCATTGCAATGTTAAGTTTTTGTATGAAGAAGGATTCAAAGGAGAAGCAGGACAATGCACTTATTTGATCTTCTACACATCTAGCAATTTGAACACAGGCTTTACTGTGAGAAACTTTGAATTCTAATAAAGGATCTTTCTCTGTGCATCTTAAACTCTCCACTTCAGTTTCCCTCTCTGCAAAGAGGAATAAATTACAGTTACTTATCTACCCCATAGGGTATTGTAGCAAGAGCTAGTTAACTTCTGTAAAGTGCTTTGAAGATAAAAGGGACCATATTTGTGCCAAATTTTAGCACCATGTATAAATCTGTACAAGTCAAAGCCAGCATTTTTTCAAAGAATTCAATCTTCTTTTGTGTGTTAATGCTTACCTACAGCTATGCCAGGATCAGAATTGGCGGTTTGAACCAGTTCTTTGCCCTGGTGGCGAATAACCCAGTTGGGGTCAATCTGAGCTGTACCCTTGGGATCCAGGGGGACCATTTGAAACTTTCTGAAATCAGTTTCACTGATGTCATAATTTTCAGGGCACACATCATAAATATCTGGGATGCTGTCATTGTCAAAGTCATCTTTGCAGATATCACCTCTGCCATCACCTATAAGCAGAATGCATACACAGACACAAATTGTTAGTAGTTTATACCTCTGTCTTTCTTTTTTATATAAGTTAAGAGGTGTTAGACATAAAGACTAGGAAGCCTGCATATTTCTTACCTACACATTAAGTTGCTCCAACCAGTTTCATAAGCCTTACTATCAACAAATAATGTAAAATAATGCTGGTAAGAAATGGTTGCCAGATTCCACCCCAGAAGTGCTTGAATAAACTACGGTCAAAATCACTCTTGGTATAATCCATGGTAGTCAATGAATTATAACCAGAGATCCTGGTTTTCTCTGATTAAAAAAAAATCCCACATTTTTGGATTTAAAAAGTAACCCAAAATCCATATTTTTCCATAATTAAAATGAAGCACCACTACATATATATCTATATATTAGTCGCATTTCATTTTAATCATGGAAAAGTGTGGATTTTAAGGTACTTTTTTAATCTGAAAATTGGGGTGGGCAGTTGTTTATTGTAGAAAACCAGGATCCCTGGTTATAACAAGGATGAATTTGTTGATTTCTTTGTGTTCTTATCCAACTAAGTCTTTTTATTTATAAGAACCTAGGAATTAGCCCACTGGAAAAAAATAGAGATCCACCTTTTCTACTATCCTGCCATCAACAGTGACTTATAAGAAAGGTTTCAGAGACAGATGCAAAATCCAAGTAGTATGCCTGATCACCACAATATTCTGTGGGAAAGAAGAATGGACCTTAGGCAACGACCAAAGAGAGGTAATGAAAGAAATAACAGCTCACAGACTTCCTACAGTTCTGCCTGATGGGAAAATGGTTTCACATTCTGCTGTCTGGCAGCGAACCAAGAAGAACTCCAAATTTTGTCCAGCTGTGCATTCTCTTAAGTGTTTATCTTAACACTTAAGAGAAAAGCTATGCATTTTCAGTTCTATCCATTTTGCTAATCTCAGAGAAGCAATTTTGGAGTCATAGGCAGATTTTAACTATTCACTGCATACACTATGAAGTGGTACCGACTGCTGCCAAACAAAGCTTGTTTTAAATACCAGCCATACCCACAGACTCTATCCAGGTCTCTATCTTAAACATCTATAGCTCAGATCCTTAAGACAACATGTACATATTTCAGTTTTATTTATAGTTTACCTTCTCCTGAAACGGAACAAGATTCCTCATAATTCTGCCACTGATGATGATAACAAAGAGCAAGCCTAACTCTATTAAAATATTCTACAAGGCATTCACTATATAATTACATTTGCAAATACTCTGACTTGGAGTTCTGTGGCTTAGCCCAAGCCTGGAACAAATGAAAGCTGGCTTTAACTATCCACTATGGTACCCCAATCCTGGGGCTAGCCTTTAACTAGCGTGTTCCTGATATCAACTTAGAACAGCCTGGGGGCCAAAGGGTCATTCCACATACTGGCAGGATACAGGGACATCCCAGTCATGCTCTCTTTGCCTTAGCTTTGCCTTACACTAGAGCACTGGAAGGAGAGGTGGTTTAGGAGTTTCTACTGCTGTTCTATACCAAACGGGCATAGCCCAGAGTTGGCAGTGTTCTCAGGGGGCTAGGTCTGCCAGCTTTACAGAACAAAGTAACTATGATTTTATTCACTGGAACTGTGCACTAGGCTATACAAAAATGTGTGTTAAATTTTGCTTTCAATTCCACTAGGATAAACGTGAAGGAATTCCAATAACTGAAAACATAAAATATCAATATCTTTGTATTTTGGGGGTCTTTAGTCAGATATATCAAATGTATAGAGAAAAATTTAACTTAAAAGATAACAATATAGTTTATATTTTATATGCCATTCTTAAAACCTATTGACCATTCATTATCAAACACCTCAAGAGAGGAACTGAAAAGTAGCTTAATAATGACCTAGGATACTAGAAGACAATTTAGAGCAACAAGCAAGGGAAAATACCAGACCTATTTGTAGAACTAGAATGCGTATTAGCAGTACACATTGGGTAACAAATTTGAGTAGAAGCAATCTCAAACTTGTATTTTCCACAAAAAAATATTTCAGAAGCATTTCTGATTTTTGTATGGGTAAACCTTGTTTTTCAATAAAAAAGCAGAAGCAAAAGCTTACCTTTTTCAATCTTTTACCTCTTTAAAAACCCAGTACTTGATAGCTAAAAAGTTTTGCTTTTTGTTTTTTTCTACAAAGAATGGAAAATATCAAATGTAACATTTTCCCTGAACATTTTGGGGTTTTTTTCTAAAAAGGTATCTTTAATATAAAATGATATATATTCTGACCATCTATCACTTTAGACTTTTTCAGGAAGAAAGACGATGACCAAATATCAGCACTATGGCAAGCAAATGCAGTTCTGTGGAGGGCAATAATGTTAGGCTTGGTTTGACCTGGGAAGCGTACTTTCTTGGATAGATGGGGTGGGGGGGGGGGAAATAGCTTCAGTAAACCTTTGCAGAACACAAGTCTGTACATGCCCAGATATTAATACTGAAGGAACTGAAACAGACCCATACTTTCTGGTTCTTACCATCAGAGTCCTCCTGGTCAGGGTTGAACCTGAGACGACAATTGTCCCTGTCATCAGGAACGCCATCATTGTCATCATCAGAATCACAAGCATCCCCTTTGCCATCCTTATCATGATCAGCCTGATTAGCATTAGGGATATAGGGACAATTATCTTGGTTGTTCTGGTGACCATCTTCATCAATATCTTCATTGTTGTCACACTGGTCACCAACCAGATCATTATCCGTGTCAGTCTAGAGAGGAAAAAGGAAATACAAATTGAAATTTTTGCAATGAAGCAAAAACCGTGGGTGCCTTTTCCTTTCTTCCTCTATTTTTATCTTTCCACAGCTTCCTGGAAATTTAGCTATCTTACAACATCAAATTTGTGTAGAAAAGAAACGTACTAGAATATAATTTTTCAGTTTAACTATGCTGAAAATCATTATACCTTGGGGAGTCCCTCCTGCCTACTTTCTCAACCAGTTTGCATTGCATCTCCATCACCACCACCAAACAAGCAGTTAAGTACAGCTCATATATAGAGGATATGTAGTTTAGTGCATAGTGTACTGGACTATGAGTAAGAAGCCTTGGGCTCCACTCCTACATCTCTTGTTAGCTTACTGTGGGTCCTTGGATAAGTCAATGCACCTCTCTGTCACCGTCTCCCCTCCTCTTCTTTAGACTGGACACTGGGGCAGGGATTGTCTTTTACTATTTTTTTGTGCAATGCCTAGCATCAAGAGGTGTCACTAATAGTTGAGGTCTGTCTGCATTATTGTAATATAAATAATTATGGTAATTTACTTTCTTTCCTAAAATATTGTTTGTGTGTCAGCCTCTTTTATTCTGATGTCAGCATGATTACAAGCAGTTAGACGATGGCTTTCAGATTTCATGTTAACCGCAAGCCCTCCCACACATCCCTCCTCATATTAAGCAGCTGCACTTAATATTCACCTGATCAGGATTGTGCATCAGTGGACAGTTATCACAGTGATCTCCAACTCCATCACCATCTGTATCCCGCTGGTCTGTGTTGTAGACATATGGACAATTATCTCGTTCATTAAAAATATCTGTGAAGATTAAAAAAAAAATCAGTGTAAATGAAGAACATAAGAAATCCAGCATGGTCAGTTCACATACAAACAGTCTGGGCAGAAGAATAAGTTCCAGCAGGTAAACCAGGCTGTGAACTAAATAGCATGTCAGCCACTCCACTCTAGCTGCCACGTGCATGCTGTTACCTTGAAGTAAATGAAAAGTTGCCTCCCTCCTTTCACTGAGAAACAAGCTACCTCACATATCTCACAGGGTAATGTTTTCCACAGTTATGCTACAGGCAGTTACCAAAGAACAGCTGGTGTATGTAAGTTCATGCCACCATATCTCGTGACAGCTTGTTTATGTCACCATATCCTAAGACTGGCCGCTAAAGAAGTTAGGTTCTATTTAACTGCTATTTTGATGCTTTACATGGATCTGAAGAACTTAGTAGGCCTCATGCTGATCAACAGGTAACCTTAAACTACATTTTATTTCCAGTAGCATTAAAGCTATTCCAATTTTTTTTTTTATTTTACCATGTTATATTAAATATGAAAGTCACAAAGGAATGGGAATAATTACAGGCCAAATCCTGCTTTCTTTCCTAAACTGAAAACTTACACATGCATATATAAATGTGGAAGATTTTATGAAGAGAGAGAGAGAGAGTGTCCTATTTATATCTATATATATATAAAGGGCCTAGTCTGTCTGTCTTTGTGTGTGCCTGTCTGTCCGTAATGCTCTTGCAGCACTCTGATTGGTTGTCTCAGAAGCCAATCACAATGCTTACTGAAACAACCAATCAGAGTGCTCCACACACTGCTCCATGGAGCGCTGCCATGATGGTGGGGATGGAATGGGAGGGCTGCTGGCCTCGCCCCCCCCACCTCCAACCCTGCTCCCTGGAGGCGACAGCAGCGCAAGGTACTGATGGAGGGGAATGGAGGGGATGGCAGGGCAAGCTTCCCTCCCCCCTCCCTGCCCCCTGCTCCTGGGAGGTGGCAGCATTGTGGAGTGGTAGGTGGTGGAGCTCCGTCCCTGCCCTCTCCCCCTGCCGTCATTCCTGACAGGCAATTTGCTAGTATATTCATTAAAACTTCCACTTTTATATAGGTATTTCACTTCAGCAGACATTTTGCTTGCCTAAGGACTACATTGATTCTGAAGAATATATTCTTTCATATTTGTAAGTTCAAAGAAAAATGTGTACTGACAAAATAGTTCAAGTTTTTTTCTTTAAATCACTCAATTTCTATTCCTGAGACCTGGAACTCTGCGTAGAATTTCTGAGTAATTGCCTTGGATTAATGTTTACCTACTTTACTGTTGAATTACCTCATCATGGTATAATCTATACCATTTACTGTACAGTGTTGAAACCTTCTGGGGACCTTCCTGGTACAGTTATTCTCTCTCTCCAAAATGTTATTGTATTGAAGAGAGAAAATATAAGCCAGATATATTGTTATGGGTGCCTGGAGATAACCTTAAGGTGGCTTCTTTAGTAATATGGCTTCTGGACCTTTCTATCAACTTTGAAATAAAGTTTTTCAGGAAATAACATGAGGTTATAGTTTCCTCTCAAGACATATGCAGAATTCCTGGGAGCACAAGTAAGAACCTGATGCCATGTCACTTGGGAGAATTTCAAATGGTTCAGAACCTCGATTAAGATTTGTAACCAAAAGTTTGAAATTTTACTGAAGGAAAATATAAGAACAGACTTCCTTCTACATCTTGTGATATGTCTTGGTTTCAACCGGGCAGGAAATGATGTAAGAACAGGCTTTCTAAATTATATCTATGCTTTCATTTGCACTTCTGGCCAAAACAGGCACTCAGAAACATGTAAAATAAACACAACTATTTAATATATTTCAAAACTTCAAAATGCATGGGTTTAGGCTGATTTGATCATTGGCTGACTTTCTGGAGCAACTTCTATTTTATTGAAATCCAATTAACATCCTCTTAGGTTATGTGCATATGTTCAGAGTACCCAATCCATGTTCATGCAATTTAAAGTAAGCCACATAACTGTAAATCATCTTATTTTAAGATGCGTGATTTTAGATCAGGTCTGGCTTGTGCCCATGTTTGCCAGTGCTGGGAGCCATGCCAGGAACCCAATTTAAGTAAGTTGGGGTGCGGGGAGGAGCAGACAAGATCAGAGGGGCCTAGCGGTTCTGTTGGGGTGTGGAGAAAGGCAGGGTTGGTGGCTTCACAGAGGGTGTTGTCCATCTATAGACAGAGGATCATGGAGCTAAAAGTAGCCCAGTCAAGGTTGGAGGGGTAGAAAGAGTTCAGCCTCAAAGCTGGGGTAAGTGGTTGGGCTTTCCCAGCCTCAGGGCTGCACTGCGAACGTGTACAGATTTTTGTTAAATCAGGCTGTCCATTTTTTGCCTAATCTGACCTCTCCAAACATCTGTACAGATCGGCACTTACATCGACCTAACCCTAGTTAGGTTGATCAAAATGTAACATCTGCACATACCCTCAATATCATCCTAGTATTCTTGTTATCCTTTTACCTGTAGGACCCACAAAAGAAATTATAGAGTATATGGAGCTTTAAAGAAATTCTTCTCCTCTCCAAAGAATATGTTGGCAAGGGCATTGAGATGGGCTGGATAAAAGTGATATATCTATAATATTTAGCTGAGATAATAGATTACATTCATGTGAGTTTATGTCACATATCTAGTTTCCTTTGATTACAGCAAAGGATGTGTACTGATGAATCTTCTTCTTCAGTTTCTTTTTCATTTCTGAATGGAAAATATCAGGTACAGCTGCTTTTTATCACATATAAAAGCAGCTGCTACATCCTGTTGGTAGCAAGACATCTAGTTCTGGAAGAACAGCTAGTTCTGAAACAGTTGCTTCTATGCATTAGAAAGTAAGAACATACCATCTCCGTCAATATCCACAGCACAAGCATCACCCTCGCCATTATTATCTGTATCAATCTGAGCAGGATTATGCACATAGGGACAGTTATCACAGCGGTCACCAACTTCATCCTTGTCATAATCAAATTGACGTGGGTTGAACAGAAGAGGACAGTTGTCCTAAGGAGCAGAAACAAAAGTTTAGTATAAATTATTACTTGATTTGAGGCTTCATCCTTTCAAATTGTACTTTTGCCTTCCATAGTCAAGCTACATGGAAATGAAAGTTAAACAGAAAATGATCAGAAAATCTACTCCTGATCCACAACTATGCCTGTCAACAGATAAACTTAGAACTAATTAACCGTGCACCTTGCATAATTATTTGTACCTGGAAATGGTGGGGACAAAGTGTTACTAAAGCAGAATGGTAGGCATGTTACACTAAAGCTCCTTAAAGAAAATTTAAACAGAACCATATTGCATTAAAAGAGGCAAGCCCCTCAAAATCAAAATGTTCCATGAAATTTTTCCCAAATGTTTTTTTCCAGAAGAAAATTGGAGGAAAATGTCCATATTTCAGAATAAAATAATCTTGTTTTGTTTGTGTTTTGAAATGAATCTTCATTTCAAATCCTTTGATTGTGTATTGTATAATATAATACATTGCACGTTTAAAAAAAAAAAGAAACAATGTTTTGATTTGTCAAAACAGAAATATTTCAAACACCCTAAAATGACTTCTTTTCTTTTTGAGAATTTTCTTTTATAGAGAACTTCAGCATGTGGGGTTCTTGTTCTAACTTAAAACAAATCCAAACTTTAAAATCTCAACAAAAAAACCCCCACAAAATGAAATTTCCATTCTCAACAAAGCAGTTGGTTACACTTGTTTTGCACACATGTAAAGAGCAAATGAATATGCAAGGAAATGGAAAGCAGGCCCAATTTGCATATATGGAGAAAACAGGCCTCACAGAACCTCACAACAGATCACTGAAGAACAGCTTGCAGTACTGCTGTCTGGAAAAAATAAGCATCCTTCCTTAGGACAAAACATCACCCCCCTTAGTATTGTATTTTGTATATGAAAGAAAAAGCTAAAGAAAAGACAAAATATTTGTTTTATACCATTAAATTCTGCCACTTGATATAAAATGGATTTCTATAGGATGGTTTACATAGAGATGATCATGCCTCTTAGCATGAGGTTGGACTAGATGACCTCTGAAGATTCCTTCCAGTCCTACTTTTCTATGCTTCTATGAAAGCATTAATTAATTCTCCCATGAGTTCATGAGAGAAAAGTACTCATTTCTGTCTCGCCTACATGGATAATTGAAGTGACATTTTTGTAAATACACACACAAAATATTTTGATTATTCAAAAGCTTGGTCAGTTTTTTACAAGTCTCCAAGAGGAAATTAAGGGTCAGATAAAAACATGAAGGCGTACAACAGAACACAGGCATATGTCCCTTCTGCTGTTTCTCCTTGGTCATTGACCATTTTATAATTAGTAGTATTAATCAATTATGCTTTATATAGTACTTCATGTTCTCCCAAAGTAAAATATGAGGTACTTGTTTGAAAGAGCTGGCAGTAAACCCAGTACAAATTGCGTAATCAAATGTCATTTTTGAATAAAACCAAAAATTGAGCTAATAGACCCTGAGATGATGCTATGACAGTACAAGTTGAAAGAGCAAAGTGTCCTGCAGTCATCTTGGAGTTCCCTCAGTCCTCGTCTGCTCTGCTCCAAGCTGCCTTCCTCAGTGTAATTTAGAGACACCGGGACAAGGCAAAACTGCTGTGATGGAGCTGAGGATCTAATCCTTAAAACCCTTCTTTGTTTCAGACAAGTGAGTGACAATAACACAGTAGAAGGCACATTCATTAAAAATAAACAAACAGCCATTAAATAACGAATCTCACTTTGTCGTCCTCTACACCATCATTGTCATCGTCTTCATCACAGGCATCTCCTTTGCCATCCTTATCAAAGTCTTCCTGTCCAGAGTTAGGCAGAAGAGGGCAGTTATCCTGTCCATAAAAATCAATACATTAGTTTTACTTCATGTCAGAGGTTCCACAGGTTACGTTATGTCACATGTTATAACTGACATTGGTTAGAAGAAGATAAAGCACACTAGGGGCTATTAAAAACATAGCTGGTAAAAATCAATCGTAAGCTCAGGCTGTGTGAAACAGCACCGTTCCATTTTGACTTTCCTTTTGCCGTTTCAAAGGGACAGTGTTTCATTTTGCTGCTTCGAAGCGCTGTTCTGTTTCATTTTGTCGAAACTATTTTGCTGTTTCGACGTGTTTTGACATTTCGCCCATAGGCCATAATGGGGAATCACAAAAATACCTATAACTTCATCATTTCTTTCCTGATTTGAATGAAAACAGCAGGGATGGTATCCACTGCTGAGGCCACAAAGCCTGTCATGTTTCAAGGAGATAGGTGCAGGGGTTTTTTGGTAAACTGCACCTCAAGCTGTTCAGAACAAAACTTGTGTCATTTGTAAGTCTGAAGGCACAGGAGGATGAAAACAGCAGACATGGAACCCTCTGCTGAGGCAATGAAGTTTGCCAAGGTGCATGGAGATAGATCCAGGGGTTTCTGGGAAACTGCACTTCAAGGTGCTGACAAGCAAAACTTGTGATATGTGTAACTTTTTATGCTGCTTTTCCATCCCACCCCCAGAGCACTGGAATTGGAAGGGACCTCAGGAAAGCATGACAGTCACTGGCCAGCTACATGTCAATATGAAAGCAGTCCTTCCCCCTCCCTCTCCTTAGTTTCTGTTTAACTGCAAGCAAGCCCAGTGTCGAAACTCAAAACATTTTGAAACGTTTTGAAACTTTTGAAACATTTTGAGTGCCCTCATTTCATTTCAAAGCTGTTTCGAAGCCTTGCGTTTCATTTCTATTTCACTGTTTCAAGCTCAAAACACATAGAAACAGCTTCAAAACGAAACTCCCATAGAAATTTTGCACAGCCCTAATAAGTACTTTTTTAAAGCAGCATTCTTCTTTGGTGGGGAGGGGGGAAGGGGATCTTGTGGTTGCCAAAGATATTAGTTCATCCACAGCTTTCATGGTATAAAATAAATTAAATGCAAGCGAAAATCATTCCATTTCCCTAATCTCTTTTTATGAGGATGTTTTAAGTGTATTTTAATGGAGAGCATCTAACAGGGAACACACATGTAGCATCAGTTTTTCCTGGACAGCTCATGAAATAACTTTAAAGATTACTAACTGACCAGCTTTGACTGACCTTGGCAGAAAAATGAAGATGCAACCTAGAAGGATGATCTCAGCAATCAATAACACAGTTAATATAACAAAGTCATACACATGGGACCATGGTATGAAAAATATGTGGCATTTTGTTAAACTCCTAGAACTTTTGAAAATAGATGACAAATGTATCCCTTACTATTTTTATCAGAACCAAGTAAAGCAAGGTTATTCCAAATAAATAGTTTTTCAGATTAAATTCTTAAATTGTAAATACAGAAAAGTAATATAACGGACCAACATTTTAATAGCTATTGTCTAAGTATTGTGTTTTGTTGAGGAATTATATCATAATTCTGCCTCCAGTTGAGGATAAGGGGAAATACAAACATCCACTCAAAACTCTATCCACTTCTTAGGTCAAAACATCAAAAGTTATAAATTGTTCTCAATGATGTTTTTACTTTTTTTTACAATTCCCCTTTAGCCTAGCATCAAAACTGGACTTGGCAAAATACTGTACAAATACTGTTCCTTTAATGCTCATATTGGTGTCCTGTGTCATTTGGGCAAATGCTGAAATCATAAGAGAAAGCCTATACTTCTGAGATTTTCAAAGAAGCACTAGAAAGTTTTAGGTGATTATCAAAGGCAAAAGACATTTACAAGATCTTCATGGCTCCTGGACACATGACTGAGCATAAGCAGCAGCTATACCATATTTAGGATAATATATAACAGTTTGAGATACAGAAATTCTGAAGAGAAAACATGTTTATACATGTAATCTTGAGAATTAATCCAAAAATTGAAAGCAAATTTATATTAAAATTATTAATGTTATTTTTTTAGTCACAAGATACATTTTCAATCACTATAAGAGAAAGTATGCCTTTGATCTTTCTTTTTGGACAAAGTATTAAACTACAATATGGTTTCTAATGAGTGTAAGTACTTGAGAACATCTGTCTTTCAAAATATTTTAAATAAAGCATTAGTCTCGATTATATCAGCATAGATATATATCAGCATAGTTATATGCTTATAGAGCATAGATGCACATGACTGAGACTTTGGAAACAGCTTTCTCTAAATGGGTTCAATATGTTATGTTCTTAATGAACACAGATCCTTTGTGTACATCTTGAGTTAATACATTGCATATTCTGATGACAGGAACCAAAAAGAATGTATGAACTGCAAATGCTGAAATGGTGAGATCCACACTGAGTAGACAGGGTGAGAAAGTACAGCATTTCAGACTTGTGTTTAAGTAATATTTAAGGGCGTGTGTAGATGAAACAAGGGGCATGTGTGCACAACACTTTAATGCGGGTTAAATGCTTTTGCACCGCTTTAATAATGTTGGTGTTTGCATGCGTCGGTGGTGTATTGCGATTCATTCCAGCTGCTGTAGCACATTCAGCAGTGTAATGCACCTTAAATGACTTTGGGGCACAACAAACTAAAACATCTCTGAGGACTTTTAGTTTGCTGCCCTACAGCCGCGGAGTGAAGCACCAGGCTCCATGCGACTCAGGGACTGTACAGGCAGCCCATTCAGGCAGCCTGGCAGCAGCCTGGGAAGGCAGGCTCCACCAAAGGGGAAGAAAAAAAAAAAAGCAGTGAGCCTGATCTTTTTTTTTCCTCCTGGAGCCTGCTTGCCTGCATAAGCTGCGTGAGGACCTGGTTCTTCCCTCTGCGGCTGCAGTGCCTCCTCAGGACCGCTCAAGCCAGGTGCCTGCAGGCGAGTGCCTCCTAGGGGGGCCACCACTGCTGCAGAGGGAAACACCAGCCCCCTCCATCCCCACAGCCAAAGGACCACTCTGCCCACCAGCAGCTTGCCTTCCCCTCCCCGCCACTGGAGAGGCAGGGAAAAAACAAGGGTACGGGACACACGGGTAAAACACAGGTGTACGTGACACAGGGGTTTACTTCGCCCTAAATTGAAGCAGTGTTTTTTAAAACCCATCGCTTCAATTTAGGGCCCCCGTTTCATCTACATATGCTCTAATACTCCCTTTCTAAGAGTAAAGGCACTGGCTTAAGTTTGTTTCAAGTATAACTCCATTGACTTCACTGGACTCCACAAGACAATCCGATAGAGTTGTGTGAATTTTCTTTAAATTTTAGTTCCTACCCATTTTTTTAAAATGTTTCATGTTGAACCAAAGCAACAGCAAAAATTAAACAAAAAAAATAATGGCCCCTTTATGGTATATTTTACTTCTATTTTTAATTTCCTGTAGGCTAATTTAAAAATGAAGCACTGTTTTGTAACAAAAGAGCTGCAATGTTTAATTAAAAAAAAATTTGCAACAAAAATGTTTCCAATTTTTAAAATTGTTTTCAGGCTTTTTTTTCCAGCCATGATGACACAACATGAATTCATGAAGAATTTGAATGAACTGCACAGTATTTTTTGGCAAACAAATATCCAGCTGAAAAAATTCTTCCAGTTCTATTCCCAAAACAGAAAATTGTAAAGAGAACATTGACCTTGTGTGATCCAGGAAAAGTGATCCAGGAGAGATCTCTATTTTTCTCTTACGAACCATAGAGCAGAGCAATAGGTTAGTCTATGATACTGAGATATACCCTGTATAGTGAGATATATGATTCAATTCAAGTATATCAGCCAGATCTAAAAAACTGGCCTTAATTTATGGGCCTAAATCCAGAATTTAAATCCTGAAAATTCCTTCTCAGGTGCCAAGGTTACATTAAGTGGTCACAGGTTAAAATAGAGAAACCATCCTAGGAGTGGGAATTGGAATTCAGGTCTTCCCACGCTAAGGTGAATAAGCAGTAGGCTACCGTCACATACCCTATTGTGCTCAGACTTCCTCACTCTTGCACTCTCTCTTAGCCAATGCATTTTGACTTCTTTTTTGTAAAGTGGAATAGCTTCCAAAGGAGGCATGGAGAGTTCTGTCTTCCCCATCTGGAATAGCCCATATCTGAAGTTGGTAACTTAGGACCATGGGCTGGATCCTGTCTACAAAGGGATTAAAGCTAACCCACAAAGGTCCCATCTGGTCTGCATTTTACTAAGGGCACACCAATGCCCCAGTTGTTTGATCTGATCCACGATCCATGGTTTTCTAACAGTATGCCAATTGCCTCTGGCCACTCCAGCTAGAGGCTATAGCCCATGTAGAAAGCTGCTCTTCCTTGCTGCAGCCTCTGCTCACTGTTGCAGGAGCAGTAGGAGGGGAATGGTCATCTGCAGCACTGGCTGGGTTGCAAGCTGCAGCCTAAATTTGCAAAGGGATGCCAACTTCTTGCCTATATAATTTCTGGGCAGTTACAACACTAATTAGGGGGATAAAAGATGTGAGTTTGAATCTCCTCAGGCTGAGGAAGGAATTAAACCTGGCTCTCCCACTCCTGGGTGAGTGTCCAAATGTCTAGGCTGTTATATGAAAGGTGGGCAACTCCACCTCTACCTCCTTTAAAAAAGAGTGAACCCTGCTCAAATCCTTGAAAAAAAATCACCTAGTTTCTGGAGTTCATTCAGGACTATGGATCCTAGGTCACTGGATTTTGCTTCCCTACAGCCCAGGAGAGTCTACACTGGATTCACCTCTATCCTCAGTGTTTCCCTGCTGGCTATGCACATGCATGCTAATAAGCTGGCTTTACATGGCTCTGTTCTCAGCAAGCTGGTTTTATTGTATGCCATTCTGAGACATTTAACTCTCCCTACAATATTGGAACCATAGACAATTCACTCAAGGTCTAGAGTCTAGGGACCTAACTATTAGGTGCCAGAATAATTTTCTGAATCTGGCCTTTCATACATGCACATTCTATACTATCTCACAGAAAGGAAAGATATCTTTATTTATGAAAGCTGCATAAAAACTATCACCTGACAGATGGTTGAAAAGAGAGAGTCTTTGGTTTTTATTAATGAAAAAAGAAATGTGGTTAGGACACCAACATGTTTTGATTGACCCTTCTCACTTACCTTCATGCAATGGTAGGTAGCATTAGCAGCACAGACTAGGTTTTTATTGGGCCAACCATCCAAATCAGAATCTTCACCACAGATTCGCCCATCACCAGCATATCCTGTTCTACATTCACACTTGTACATAGGGTCACTGAAATGGCCCAGGTAGATGCACTCTGCAGATTTGTGGCATTGGTGTGTCTTGTCTTTGCATGGATTTTCAGGTTCACACACCTGCAAAAATACATCATACTTGATCAGAATTCATGCCAGTAGTAGCTGCTTCTCAGTGGCCAGAACTTTTGAAAATCAGACCAATTGTTTAAATTTTGTTTTAAATAATAGCTAAAGACCCTAAAATATGTATATACCATTTTCCTGAGTGCAATGAGCCATTTATTTCTTTTAATCCATCATTCCAAATAACACGTAATAAAAATGCCACAAGTTCCATTAATAATTAAATAATTAAAAGTATCCCTTCAACATATTTTGAAGACTAGCCACATTTATGTGGGTGCTGTAAGTTCTCATAAAGTTATTATGGAACAGAAAAATGCATACACTGAGTTCCCGTAGAGCCTGGTATTGCAGCACCTCCAGGCCCAATGCCAGTTCCCTATGGAAGGAACACCCACTGTTTGTTTTTTTTAAAGGCCCAAACAAAAGGTTCCCATGAGCATTTTTGGCACCAGGGGAGGGTGTTGAAGCTTGCTCCAGCCTCTCCAAGTGCAGGCCTGGTATTGCACCTCCAGGCCTAGTGGTCATTCCCTCCTGGGGGAATAACGGCCTGAATTTTTAAGGGCCAAAAAAATTTTAAAATAAAAAAATTAAAGAAGGTTTCCATCATTGTGTTTGCCCAGCATGTGTTTTTGAGCATGCTCATCATTGGCTGTATTTCATGAACTTCATACTTGGTTTCCATGACTGAGCACATGCTGCTTCTAGCATTAGTTTAATGATAGCCAATGTATTTAATGGGGGCAGGTATGGCGGAGTACTGGTATGTGAAGATAAGACAAGGGGCTTTTTTCCCATGCTGATTGAGGGGAAAAGTCTCATTTTATATATGAGTAAATACGGTATCCTGCTTTTCCACTGCTTTATCCCTCCAATTCTCATTTACATCTATGAAAAAGTTATACAAAATGTGGGAGCAAAATGCCACCATTCCCAAATGGTAACATTTTACACCCTATAAATGACAACAAATAGTGAAAGCAATGAAGAATCAGAACCAAAGCCTGGGAATTTGCATCAGCATGTAGCTAGCTGTGGCTATAATTTTTGGCACCAAACTTTATGGAATACTAATTCATAAACATTTTTTTACTGAGAATGGTTTAGAAAGCTTTTCTTTTTTCATAAGTTGCCTAAACAATGCCTTCTCTTCTATATCATTTACCTGTTTTTCTGCCTTAGCAACCTCCAGACCCACTCCAAAAGGTTGAGTTCCCTTGTACCGTGGAGGGCATGGCAGGCAATGAAAACCTGGATTTGTATTCACACAGCGATGGGCCTGATTGACCTTAAAGCACACATCTGGCACAGCTATGCACTACAAGGAAATAAAGAAACAAAATGAACAAGCAAATCAGCTGACACTATAATTACCAAACATGGATTTTTAGTAACGTCAAGGAAAAATTTCACGTTGACTGAAAGAAATGACGTGTATATGTATACCTCATCAAGATCCTCACAGACTGTTCCATTACCAAGGTATCCAGAAGGACAAGCCCCACATGACCAAGACCCATCAGGGTAACTGTTACACTCCGCTCCAGGAAAGCAAGGATTCGATAAACACCCATCTGTCAAAACATGTGAAAATTTAAATAAGAGTAGGAGTGTAGGAGGAGCAATCAACATTACTTAAGAAAGATACCTTTCATTTATTGAATTACCTATAAGGATGATGGAATGCACACAGTTAAAAGTGACTGAATTTTCAGGTAGCTATAGAAACATTTCCTTTTTGATTCTATGGCCATTATAAACAGTTACATTAATAGCATTTAGAGGCGCTATCTGAACAGTTTCCTTATTTAGCAAAGCCCTTATCCTTAAGAATATACATAAAATACCTCTTAAGTGAATGACAGGTTAGTATTTATTTAAATGATTTCCTGAAACAAGGCCTGAATTAATGGATTTTATACATGTAGTCCCTATCATAATTATTAGTGCTGCTATCCATATCATAGAGGCATACATGATAACAACAACAAAAACTGAAGGTCATGCAACTGATAGCTGACCATTCAAGCGTACGTACCAATTGGGCAATCTTTCTTATTACATATATCATGTTGCTTGACATCTCCCACACATGGTTTTCCTCCATACTGGGGCTCAGGGCTGTTACAAAGCCGAGACCTCTCGTGGATCCCACCTCCACAGCTAACTGTGCAAGCAGACCATGGAGACCATGGACCCCACTGACCATTAACTAGAATATGTAGAAAAAGAGAAAATCAACAGGAGCAACATACTGCAAACAAAGTTCCATGAAGACAACTCATCTCTCAGGTAATGGTGTATAAACAGCTGTCACTGTACACAGAAGAAGGAAAGGAACAAAAAGGTTACAGTTACCAAAGGACTGTACCTATGGCACTGTAGGATCTGAAGCACCTGATCTTCATGCTCCCCAGAGCTGGGAGATTTCTTTCATGAAAAAATTGTCCCCAAAAATATTATTCAGTTGACAATTCTGAGCCAACTGTTTCTATTCCAAAGTACCTTTGCTGGCAATGCATAGGAAGTGCACGCAGGTGCACGTGTACCCCCTGAGATCAGCTGTGCACCCCCTGGAAGCACCAGCCGCGAAACCGGATGTGCCAGCAGAAGCGCACTTGCAGTTTCATTGCTGGCTTGGCAATCGGATGCTGGGGGCCCCCCCTCCCCATTTGGCGATTTGGTGCCGCCCCAGACTTGGGAGGCACCAGTCACCCATGCTTGGTGCTGTGAATTTTTTGTTTGTCAGTAGAAGATGTAGCATATTGCAACTAATGGCATTTTAGGATTGCCTTCCCTAGCTACCAAATAACTTTGATTTGCCATCATTTAAAGCCCTTCTATTTAGGGTCTTGTTACACCTTATGCTGTGAGCTGTACAAATGTTGATTTGTATTAGTGCCAGCTAGGAATTTGGATCAGTTACACCCTTAGTCTAGAAACTTTCTCAGACTGTCCCCCATCTGCACAGCTGGGATTTGCCTCTAGAGGCCTGTTGAGCAGGGGCAGGACTAGGAGCTGTACCTGTAAATTGCCACTAGAGGCTTGGTCAGCCAAGACAGGCTTCTATCGCTGCTCTATGGCTGGGGGTATGAGATATCCAGAAATATTGGAGGACTTCAACTTGAGTGGCACATCTTTTGGGAGTGGCCACACCTTCATGGAACAGGAGCTGGGTAGTGCGGATCAGAGATAATCCTGCCCTGGAGTGACATCACTTTGAGCTGCACAATGAGTGCTTAAAACTACTTCAAGGTGTTAATGTGCAGATAATCCAGGAGTTAAAAGCTCCAGGAGCTGCCTAAAATTACCATGTAATAAGGCTGTTATACTGCTTCCATCCGAATTTGGAGATAACTTTTCTATATTCTATGACATTTCTATAACAAAGCAACATTTGCACCACTTGAAGATTGTATTTTCATTTGATAATCCAAACATTATTGTGACTCCCAAATGCACTGCCCTCTGACTCGGATATAAGTGACTTATTCTGATTCCATCTACATTTTATGCTAGTACATGTCAATTGATTTCAGAGCACATATTCCTGAATAATATTGGTATAAAAACAGAATTAGCATGTAACTTCTTTGAAGCAGTGGCTATGTTTTTCCATATGATTTGTACAGTACCAAGCACAATGTTGGTTGTTAGTAAACTGTCAATGTGTAGGGGGTGCACACGTAGGGGGTGCCACCCCCCCCCGTCCCTGCCAACACCGCCGGCGGCATCTGTGGGTGGTCAGCTATCACCGCTGGCCACCACCAATATGCTGCCAGTGGCGTCTGCGGGTGGTCGCCGACCCCTGGTCGATGCTCACCACCCTCCCCGCTCCCACCGCTGACAGTGCTGGTGGGGTCTGTGGGAGCTCCCCCCTTACCGCCGCCAGCACTACCATGCCCCACCAGCCGCTGGGGGCACGCATCATTCATGTCAGTGAATAAATAACACATTGGCACTTATGTAAAAAGGGCTGCACAGGCAGTGGTGAGTAAGTCATTTAGCCTATTTTTCAATCCATAGAAATATAGAGAGTTCAGAAGTATGAAACAGGAAATGGATAAAATAAAAACAAATCTAAAGTGACTATAAAAGAAGAAACAATGATAAAAGAAAATTCTAATTAAAAAATAAATATGTGTATCTATACTATAAAATGGGCATATGCTTATACTATTCTGGTTTTGGTGATTCATGCTTCTGTCATTAATATATAATACGGCCTACTGTTTAGATCAAAACATGTTTATCTTTTTGTTATGTATGAATCACCCATGGAAAATATGGCTTTAAATTACAGGAAGTTTCCTTAAACTTGTAAGGAATTCTTAATTTTTAAAGCAAAATAATAGCTTAAGAGGTTTGCAAAACCTCAAACTGCATTGTTGTCACTCATCCCTTCTTAAAATACCCCTATGAGGTAAATAAGCATGAAAATAATTATGAATAAAGTAACCCATGAAGAAGCAACTTGACTTGCAAAAGACTATTTCATGAACCAGTGCCAAGGCCACAAGTGGGACCCTGAATTCCTAATTCCCATCCCCTGGTTTACTCACAAAACCACATTCCTTGTGAACATTGTAATCTGAATCTGATACCAAGATATTAAAATTTGGAGCAAAGAAACAGTGGGTTTATTATAGTCCATTTCTAGGCTAGGAGTTAGATTCTTCATCTCTGACTATCAAAATTTAGAGCCTGTGTTACTGGAAGACAAAATGCAGCCATCTTGGGTTTGACTTTCATCTTGGGCTTAAATGCAAACTTACTTGGACATGGGACTTTCTCACATTTCTCTGTTTCACGGCCCTTTCCTTCACAGTTTTTCCCACCCATCTGTGGGATGGGAGAATTGCAGAGACGGATGCGGGTTATGTTGCCTATTCCACAGGTCACGGAACAAGAAGACCAAGGAGACCAATGACTCCAGCCACCATCTTGACGTACTGACGGAAAGAAGGGCTCAGCATAAGGAAAGGCTTATTTAATTTAAAGGTATAATAGAACCTAGCCTTGCAGGAGAACTCTATCCATTTACAACAGATATCCCATCTTTTTCCCATGACTATCAGGCCCTTGGCAGACATTACACTTAAGGCATGATTAACTAATTAATCATGTCATAAGTAGTAACCCAGCCATACATTCAAGCAATTAATGGTGCGATAAAACAGGGAATAAGCCACAAAATCATTACACAAATATATGTAATAATTCTGTGGCTCATTCCAGTCTCATTTTAAATTGAATATGTGGCTGGTATGCTGATTAGCTGATCAGCATTCCCAAACTTGGGAGCACAGCAGAGCCCTTCAAGACTCTGGTGAGCTCCTATTGTGAGAGCACTGGTCAACTGACTGGCATTCCCAGCTGTGGAAGCTCATTGGGCACCCTGCTTGCTACTTGCTGGTGCAAGGGTAACCCAGGATCATGATTCTAGGCTCCCCCTACTCTGGCACTAGGGTGCAATTGATGTCTAATCCCAAATCCCACAATCATGCCTCCAGCCATGCACATGTGGCATGACAGGAGACTCAGTTGTTGGGATCAAGGATCAGATCCCATCAAGCTTTTCAATGAATGTCTGTCAGCAGCCCCAGTTGGCAAGCCCAACATTCTCATTCAAGCTTAACAATCAAGACAAGATTGAAGAGGATGCTACAGTAACTGTCTAGAGAACAGCTACTTTAAAAATAAGTTTATTTTAAAGTTGTAGCAAAACACTTGTCTTCAAAGATGGTTATTATCATCATGAGCAATATTCCTTTAGGTCTGCATAGACTAGTCAAGAAACAAAAGTTCCCTGGAGTACTACAAACTTGTTCTGTGGACAGAATATGACACATGCATGAACAGCAAACAAAACAGATCAATTAAATGGTCTACAAGAATCTTACTGAACTACTCTATATAGATCCTTGCTCCTCCTGTCATAAGCATTTCTAAACTAATAGACTGTGATGATAACCATGGATGAATGGCAAAATAGAAATTGTCACCCCCGTACCACATTCACCACATATATTCTAAATGTCAACAAAAGGTAATAGGCCAGCTTGTAATGTAAATCCAAAGTCATTCTTTGTCTTTTCCTTTACAGTATAAAGACTAGACTAGCCAGTGTACATGCACACTGAACTGACATAAACTGAGAAATATCACAGAGGGGAGAAACAGAGGAATAATGCCAAAAGAAGCAGAGTACGGAAGCATAAATTAGTATTAAAATACATCCAATTCTGACTATTAATGTCTGTCTAGGAAACCCAACCTATGACTCTTTTGGCTTCATCATAGAAATGAAGAAACAGAGAGAAGTTCCTAAAGAGAGATAAATGTCATAACTCACTGCGATGCTCGCATTTTTTGAAGCTACACATTCTTGTCTGGATGTGTGGGCCAGTGCAAGAACTCCTGGTGACATCACATGACCTGCCTCGCATCTGAGTTCCTGAGCCACATGTCACTGAGCATTTGGTCCAGTCTGACCATGGAGACCAGCCTTCTTCACTGTCTTCAGCTGCAGATCAGAAGAAGCAAAATGTTCGTAACAGTCAGTTGCTTTTGTCATCAGATTTCTGCTTCAGCATGTCCTTTTCTTAGAATGCACCCTTTTTTCCTTTACATTTCTTGTTCTGATTCTTCTTTTTTATTTCTGCCCTGAAGAGTTAGAGAACTTCACTTTGTTTAACACAATTTGAAATTGGGCCATATCAGAATCCTGGATCTAAACACGCTCATCTTATATCCTGTTTAGAGCTGGGACTCACTCTTGTAGAATTTTATCTTTGGAATGGGGTGTGCCAAACACCTCTTTCCAGACACACCCAAACTTTGGAACCACATCCAGAATATGAGGCTTGGATCCACTTTTAATATAATGTAATGAAAAATGTGATGAAGAGCACAATGGCAAAAGGACTCTAGCTGACCTGATCAATCATGAGGCCTAAATATAATGACATTTACGTTCTATTTCAGAAGATTTAAACTTCTGAAAAAAGTTGCAATTTTTTTACAGTAGGTCTGTCCAGATCAGGGTGAATGCATTACTGAAGATATTCTCATTCCAAATTCTAGCTATGCATTTAAATTCGTGTCTTGAAAGAATCCTTTTATCATTCTGTTCCATATGAGTGAAGTATTGTCAGGCCCATAATAACAGGCAAAAATAATTTGTGAAACTCCTTGCCTCTATAACCATAATAGCATTGTAACACAGAAAACTAACCTTCATTCTGGAAACTAGGCACTTTCTATAGGAAGATGGTAGACGTACAATCTATTCTAGCTCTATTCTGTATAGAGATGAAAGGATAGCTAATAATACATAATGAGAAATCAGAAAGTCCAAACAGGAGAAATGTAGTTAAAGTCCATTTTTCTGATGCTTAAACAATATGATTTTTGTTTGCACTGAGGTATATTTAGCTTTTTCTTTTCAACACTACACATAAAGCAAGTTTTTTTTTTTGAAGGCCAACTGATGGATTCTTTTTTCCCTTCACTTATCTACTTACACTGAGAGCAGACAGGACAGCATTCACCTTCAATAAATGATGGATTGGCACAAGACACTGCTGGGCAGGTGATTTGATGGCACACAATTTTAGAATTCTACATAAAAAATAAGCAACATATTGGCTTGAAGTCATTTACAAATACTGGCAAAAGCATACGTTCTGGGAAAATTCCACTCCCTATGGAAGGTCTACAATTTATTAAAAATCTTTAAGAAAATATATAAAGTATTGAAGATGTTCTCACTTGGCATCAGTTTAAAAGACCAAAAATACTGTATTTAAGTTGGATCTTTTATCAAAGGGAAGATTTTGCATCTGATAGGACTATCAATATAACATTGCTCTTTTGTCCATGAGAAGTTAAGACCCTGATCCAAAATGTATTTAAGACAATGGGGGATCCTATTAGATCAGGCTCAGAATGGATGCTAGATTCATATTCTACTTTCTGAACATCCTGTCACAGCATCTGATGAAGTGAGCTTCATCTCATGAAAGCTTGTGCTATATATATAAACCTACTTTCGTTAGTGTATAAGGTATAAATCTACCCTGCCTTCTACAGAACTGAGTAGTCAAGCTGGATTCAATCTACTTAACATTTTCCAAAGAAGGAGAAATGCTTCCAAAGTCTTACCTGGCAAGTACATTTGGTACAGCTATCCACCGTCCAGATTTCATTATCTGCAAACACGCGGCCATCCTGCCAGCAGACCGATTGGTTCTTGAGAGTTTTGTTAGGCCCAATCAATTCCCACATGATTTGGTTCTCCTCAGACTAAAACATTAAATGAGCAAACAAAGTGATAGGTGTATTTTGTATCCAAGGTGCTTAAAAAGAGAAACTTTTGATCTGGTTCAAGTTACAATTGAAAAAGTACACTTTTATGCATTCCTATGCACTAGGAAAAAAGCAAAAATAAAATGTTATTGTGCTATTCCACAGTTCTTTCAGGTAATATCATAATTGTGGTTAGAAAGCTCTAAATATAATCTGCTCTCAATGGCTTTTTTTAAATATATATATATTTCATCATCTAGGAGGGAAAATTATTCCATTCTTGGAATATGCAGTAAGTTATGAAAGCTGTGTTTAGAAAGTATGAACGTAGTTCAGAACTAGGAAGGAAGGAAGTAGATTTTAAACACCCACACACCAACTTACTACAATAGAGAAAGGTAAAAATCAGATACTTCTACTTACTCCTGAGGTATGGTGAGAAGTGTAGACATTATATATATATACACACTCATACATACACACACACACACACACACACGCCTATACATGATACTTATGGCCAAATTTGACTAGCAGTTTGTGTTCAACTCTTGGCTGCCAAACCTCAGAAAACTTTAATAGGCCTTATATTTTGGGAATGTCCCTGTACCCACCCCATGGAAATCAAAATCAGTAAGTGTCCTAATACAGCATCCGAAGTCATCAATAGGCATTTTTCATAATGTAGGCCATACATGCACTGAGTCCAACTGAATCCAGCATGTGTGTATATGTGTATAATCACCTTCCAACATGCCTAATGTTCTATCCATCAATATGTTCAACCAAAGTCATAGAAGGCGAGAGGGGGGACAGCATTTTAAAAAAAAATGTATTATATACCTTTTGATTCTTAAGTCCAGAGGGCACCTACCACTTTCTGAAGGTTATCAACTAAGTTGTTAACAACAACGCGCAACCCAGTGAGCTCAGTGAACATAGTCCCCAGCTCTTCACAGGAACGGTCACAGAACTCAGCCTTCTTCTCTGTTTTTTCACCAACGTACTCAGTTGTGACAGCAGGGCTGAGGTGAAGGATCTCAGTACTCTCATTGATGGTGTTCACTTCAACTGTAGGGAGGAAGAGAACAAAGAACAGTTGTGTATACAATGGTCTTCCACTGATTATAGCTTACTGTTGGAATCATAGATTGGCACCTATAGGTAGAGTTTAACTGCATCAGTTTTGGAAAGGCTGCATGCTAAATTATACTGAAAAATAAAATCAGGGGGTTGGATGTCAGCAGGTTCTAATTATAGACTTTCCCTTTCAAAACTAAGACCCCAGCTTTGTCTTATATAGCTATCATTTAAAAGCACTATTGGCAGTATAAATAATTAATTTATGAAGAAAATATAATAACATATAATATCATAAAAGCATATATATATGTATTATGCTCCTCCATAGCCATAGAAGTTTTCAGATGTTTCATGCAATATCATGTTCACCATATGAACACAGAAGATCCTTTCAAGTGGGGTCATGGAAAAAAGACTCCTCTTCCTTCTATTCCATGGCAGATATCCACACAAAAAAAATATCAGCTAACTGGGTCTGGCCAAAAAAAAGTGTGTCCAGCTTTGGGGAAATTTAGAGGTTTTTTAAATGTCTGATGAACCAGAAAATCCCTAGACCCTGCAGCTGCTCAGTTAAAATGGTAGTCTCATGAGTTTCACTGCTAACATCAGCAGTGAATTTGACAAAGATGTGAATTTCATTGAGTACCTGCAGGATGTTCCCAGACTTTCTAGCTCTGGAATGGACTGATCAATCGACTGTCCCAGGACAAAAGACCCACAATTTCCAGCATCCCTAACCCCAGGACAAACAAGCTGGAAATTCAAAAAGGTTTATATTAGAATCATGCTTTGGGTTTGGTGAAAGTTCACTGAAGTTGGGATCTTCTAAACAGAAGATGACGAGTTCAATGAGCTGGTATTTTTCAACAAAATTTTATAACAGAAATTTTCCATACAGTTTTTCAGCTAAGTTGTCAACTACTGAGCCCAGATAAAAGTGAAATAGGGCCCAAGATGTTTTAAGCCACTTGTTTACCCTGGCTCCTACTTCTGCAACTAGCAAGACCCTGATCAGCCCTGTGCATTATAGGTAAATGCTTCTTCTAAATTCAGCCAGTTGGTAACGGGCTTCTAGTGGCCTCTTTGTACCTGGGAATAAACACAGAACCAAACACCTCTTAGCACCAACACAACTCCCACATCATGGAGGGATGCAGAGCCAACCAAGACCCATGCCAAAGGAATGCTTGGTTCCCCTGCTACGGCAGGTTTTGCAGCCTCTTTGCAATACCACATTTTCATTTATCTCTTGAATGGATAGGGACAGAATTGGCCTGGCACCAACCTGCCAATATTTTTTGGTAATCATTGGCTATTACAGAAGAGAAATCAGCACAATTCTTGGTGCAATATAACATATGTGCATAAATGTATCAACACCATTCATTGCTGTCATCTGGATAGCCAAAAATGGTGAAAGGTCTTTGAACTTTGGAGGATTGACTTAGAAAATGTACAAGCAATGTTAGTGGAATCAAACTCCTACACTGCCTCCTTATACAAACAAAAGTTTAAAAAATAAAATAATAATAAACTAGGCTATTAGCTGTTAAATGATTATTCACTTAACTTTTGTTAATTGGATTGGATCAACGTGGCTTATAGTTAACTGATTATCTGCTCCTTGCCAAAGTCTATATTGAAATGACTCCCATATTCCAAAGCTTAAATAACTAGCTATCTTAGTTTCTAGGACAGAAAGAAACTAGGTATGTAGGATAATGGGCATTTTTACATGTGTTTTGGGCCGTGGTGCCGGGTGCTTCAATTAGTGAGCCGCGCTAATTAAAAGCACCCGTACATCACATGTATCAGCATCCCCGTGCTGAAAAAATGGCGGCAGGAGCTTTGAACTGAAGCTCATTGAACATGTTTTATTTCAAAGTGCCCCATCACCATTTTTTTTTTGTGGGGACACACGGAGATGCTGATACACATGACACGGAAGGCTGCCAGAGAGCGTCAATTCCTGTTCTCTGCTCTGACATGCTGGATTTCCAGCACATTGGAGCAGGCTCCCCGCACATCTGTAGGAGTCCAATGTGTCAGAGTCGTCTATGGTGGGACTCTGTTTATTTAGGTTGCCTTCTTTTATTATTTTATTTCTGTGTAAAACATTAGGCTTCAATGATTCCCCATATAACATTTTTCAGATCATTAATTTCACATATTTAAGTTAACACATTCTGCCTTGACCTGAAGAGTTTAAGGACATTATTAAATCTGTAGTCTCAACAGGGAGTGCAGTCCTAAAGTATGCTAGAAGCATTAAATCCATACTCCCTACTGGCACTTGGCAATCATTGAAAGAAGATACCTCAGGACTACTCAGTGCTCTGTTGCTGGCTTCCTGCTAATTCTTAAGGGCTAGAATGATATGCTTTGAAAAGAAAAAGTGTTGAAAATGAAAATATTGTCATTAGAGCAAAAACACGCATCCCTTGACAAACAAAAAGCTCATTCTGCTGATCTGGCACTTGGTAGGATGGAAAAATATTTGCCTGGACAATTGACACATTTACACCCGTGTAATCAGTATTTACACTGGTAAACAAAAGGAGCAGGTAGATAATGTACAGATCTACACTTGTGCTGCCTACTCAAATTTGGTGTAAAATTACCCAAGAAAAAACTACATTTGTACAAATTACACTGGTGTATGTCACCTGTCTGCAACTTACCCAAGAGTAGCCATTTGCTCTAAGCAAACAAGCTACTTCTCTCCCCTTGTCTCCTAGTGGCAAAGTGCTATAAAAACACTTACCCAGTGTGACTATCCCCAGATAGCTTCATTCCTGTCCATAAGGCTCCTTACAAAAACAGGGTAAGTTATACCACAATAAAGATATTGTTTAGCCAGACCTTTTATTATTTTTTAAACATGCCTCTCCAAAACTCAGTGCAGATGTATAAATAATATTAAAGCACATGTAATGATTACATTATAGTAATGCTTCCCCATCCACCAACCTATTAACTCCCTCTTATATCATCTCTCTAGGCAGCCTACCCTCTCTGAAAGGGCTTATATATGTGACCCAAAAGTCAGCAAATACATGGCTCTTTCAGAGAAACTCCAATAGTGAATCTCAGAATTTGGGCACTTTACTGACAATGTCTTACCTCCCACTCTGCTCACATTAATATCTGGCATGTGTTAGCTTAGGTGCCTCACCTGAACTGCCAAGGAATCAATTAAGAGAAGAAGGATCTGTTATGTGTGACCAGTGTATTGCCCATGGTTTTTCAGCTGTAGCTGTGTAGCTACATAGGCAGGGCCATGACACTGTGATGATGCATGTAACATTTCTCTAATGCTTTGACAGCTGCAGCTACTGGAAGTTGAAAACTATTCTATCATAAATGATCTCTCATCATGCCTTACTGCTAGTATTTTCCCTTGGGTTCCCAAATGATTTCGCTTTACGGTAGTAGAGAAAAAATATGGCTGCATGTTTTTTGTTAGTATCTAATCCATTTTAATCAAATATTTTCCTTTTTGGTACTCTTCCCATACAAATTTAGAAGATCCAGAGATCCTCCTTCAGTTGGTCCAATTGGCTCAATACTAGTATATCCTCAACCAAACAGAGACATGTTTTCAGTCTCTTAAGTAATTCATGACTAGAATTGAGAGCTCTGCTTTGTGGATCTGATTGTCTAAGATGACCCTAGGTCTCCATCTGCATCTTCTATTTAAGAAGGTTACTCTGCTAATGAATGAGTTGGGCTTCCTGAACTGTGTCATCCTTGAAGCCACTGTTCTGCTTTACTTTGAAAGTGCAATGCCATTCAACAAAAAAAGATGTGCATGTCCTTACACTTGCTTTTCTATATATACATGTCCTTCTACTAACAAGGGAGCCATAAAAAAGAAGGTCATGGGTTTTGAGTTATTCTCTATTCACAGTGGAATGAATTAGCAATGTATTTCCTTCCTTTTCTTCTCCCTCTTTCCATACTGAGATAATGGGAAGTATGGCTATGACCTATCTGGTAGTGTTCCTGCCAAACCTGAGCACAAAAATCTTCTTAATCAACACGTGTCACAGGATGAAGATATGCCTTCATGATAATATTGGCTAAAGTTAAATTCCCATCTATCCATTCAATGCATTTCTAAGGCACCCATTATCATAGCATCTCAGCTCCCATTGTATGCATACTAATAGTGTTTTTGTAATTTCTCACTAATTTTATTTGAAGTAGTTTTAAACAGGGATTAGTATTAAAGTCTACTATAATACATCTGGTTTATATCAACTTTTCACCTCAAAGCATCTTAAGTATATTAATTCCCTAATAACCCTGCAAAGAGGACAAGAGCCATGATCAACCATTTCTTTTTTTCTTTGTACAAAAGGTAAAATGGAAACACAGTAGACTTAATTGATTTGTTCAAAGTCAAAGTTCAAGGTTCAAGCGTGTGGAACGCATGTGATTTCCAGTGACAGAGAACAGAAATAAATCCAAAATCAAGCTGCCTCACCCATACAGTAACTGCAAAACCACATTCCCTGCCCTCCTACAGAATTACTACTCAAAGTTTCTTGATTGAGCTCATGCCAGTAAAAATTTCTGCAAGTAGAACCAGGTACAAAAATACCGCCCATGACAGTCAGGGTGAGACCTAAACTAGACTTGACATGCCCTTTAATTGTTTCCCTTTTGAGGGTCCCAAAATGGTGGCCTCCCCATACACAAGACTCCAGATGATGTCTGCAGGAAAAATACTGATCAAAATTATAGGTGGCAAGCTATCAGAAATACCTTTCATGTTTCTTTCACTTATTAGGTTATTCTTTTTAATCCACCTAAAATTCAGTCAATCCCCACCCCCTCTCATGTTCAATATGTCTCTAATACATTTGCTACCAAAAGATTTCACATCCTTAAGGCTTGAAGACATGCTCATACCACACAATGAATCAGGTTCAGAATCCAGAGAGATGATTCCCAACCTTGTGCTCTGATCATTAAAAAACATTCCTTTGTCCTTTGTATACTGATAAAGTATACATAGATGAATTATTCTGTTTTATTACTGATAATTTAAAGACTCCAAAATTCTTAATCTAACAGCAAAAATAAAAGGTCAGATTGATGTGAGTGAGTGATATTTTTATCATGTTTTCAGCACCATGTGAATTATACAGTGATTACTTTTGTTATCACTTTCAAACAATATTCAGAAGATTATGAGAAATTCCAAAGCTTTTGGAGACACATTCTGCCTCTTCCATAAGCACAATATCCATTAGCTCAATTGGAGTTATGCCTTAGTCAGAGGGTAATATATAACTCTGATAATTCCTTATTTACAGATTCACTTGAAAAATGATAGTGAGAAAAAAGATTCTTACTTGTCTGGCTCCTCTGGCATCCTTTTTTACGTAGAACCTCTTCTAAGGAAATGTCAAATATTAAATTAACATTTTGAAGGAGACCCTGTAATAGAAAAACCCCAAAAAACTTTCAGACAATTGAAGACAAAACCCATAGCAGAACATCATGAGTTTTGCCTGGGTTGTCCCCCAGCATTCCCACTATAACAGCTAGATTTGGCCATAGGTAAATATTAAAATATAACATAGGGCACTTATCTCTGGGAAACACTAAAAATTTATTTTGCTAATTTGGAAACCTCACTGTTTAAAATATTAATGAAGTATAAAACCAGTTCTTTTCAGAATATGTCACAGTAAAGTAGTAATTGTTCAACTGTTCTCATGCTGCCACCTTGCTGTGAGTTCAAATTCAAACATATTTCCATAATATTCAATTAGCCAGACAATGATTGCATGGAGGATGTGGGACACAATGGTTTTAAAAAGGTGAAGTTTGCTTGAAGTTGCAAATGAGAGAGTTGAGTGGCTCAGCCTAACCCTAAAAGTTGCTTGTGTTGTGTGAGAAGCAGATTTTTCATTTTAGGGGAATATCTGCAATTTTAAAATCCTTCCTATCTAAAGCAGAATTAAAATGAAACAATGGCATTTTCCATAAGACAAAATTTGTGGGGGGGAAGGGAATCTCATTTTAAGTTGGTCACATTTTGATTCCAAGGCTTCATTTTTTTGTTTTAGATCATGTAAAAGAAGAAAAAGAGGAAGAAAAGTTATTTTAAAATGGAAAACCAAAAAAAATTATTTGGGAAAGGTTGAAGTGGGATATTTCTTCCCCACAGAATTTTTTCCCCAGTTTTTCTTCTGAAACAAAATTTTATCAAAATCACCATGTTTCTCTGTGAAATATGTCACTTTCAATATTTCATCATTTTCTGATGGAAAAGAGTCCATCAGAAAATTTCCAACAAACTCTGCAAATCACCACAAAATGTAGCGTGCTTGAAAGCGTCTGCCCTAGAAGGCCCACAATTGGAAAAGAAGGCTAATGGAGTTGACAAGTTCCAGGTGGAAGTTCATTCAGTAATAGAATACACTTTCTCTAGCCCTAGAATATATTTTGTCAATTCTTCACTTGTATAAACTCTGAAATTCCTGCGGTTAACCTCCAGCAATACATAAGAAGGCATTTGGCCAAATTCTGCTCTTGAATCCTCTTATCTATATTGACATCGGGGTATAAACAAAAAGAGAATTAGGCCCATTGTCTTCCACTACCAACTGCAGCTATATTCCTTACCTCAACACAGACTATAACTCATCCGTGTTACCTACCCTGAAGTGATTCTCTCGAATGGACCCTTTTGTCACATACATTCTACTGTTCTCTGCTTTTAGCTGCTCATAGAAAGGCTCCTCCAGGATAAAGCTGTCAATAAGGTCACAGCCAACATAGAGGTTGTAGGTCTCTCCTGTTACTTGAACTGTGAGGTTCTTCCACTGTGAGTCTGCTAGGTCCACATCTTCCAAAGAAATCACATTCTGGGAGCCATCCACCCAATAGATGAGGTCCAGAGTGTTGGCTCGGCCATTGGAAATAATCTCAAACTGCCTCTGGGTGGTGCCAGGACCTTCTAAAGCAATGATGGTGCCTCTAGATTGCCTGTCCTGCCTCAGGGTGGCTGAAAGAATAAAGCCCTCATTTTTCCGTAAGAGCTTGATAATCTGCTTTAATTTCTCTGGATTCACTGGAGGTATGTGGTCAAATCGAATGAAACGATATGCTGGGGTAGTGGGATTTGGACCCCGAAATACTTTTGCTCCAATTGTCTTTCGGTTTATGTTACTGATTTGAAGCAAGTCAAATGTAGTCTCCTCTTCCTTGTCACCATCTGTGAGAGTCAAGAGCATGTAACAATGTGATTACAAAAAGGAACACGATGAAATATAACTATACACAGTACATACAATCATTCTAATAGTTTGATAGACACTACTATATTGGCTACCACTTTGACACAGTAAATCCAGTACTTGCATCGTCTTTAAAGACAGAAGCATATTTAATACTTATTTGGCATGCAAGAATGAGCACTATTTACATCTGGCATATCCATCTGTTGAGCATTTCCCCATATTTGGCAACATGCATATGTATATATGTAATAATACATATATCAATGTACCCATTTGTATTTGTATATCATTTCTTTATGTATATGAATACTAATATATGTCTAGCCTAGTGAAGGTCAGCCTCCCATATACATAAAAATGCTTATTGGCATAAGGAAAGCTTTCAAATCAATTGTAATATTTTAACTTGCAGCTTGGAAGAATCAGATGGACACCCACATTACAGTAAGTTAGCTCTCAAGAAAAGCAGAATTACACCTAGGATGAACTTATCTCAAGAGCTTGCACAGAAAAAAAAAAAAGTCTGGCATTGTGCCAATTTAGACCCAAGCTAAATTTGGCACGTGGAGTTTTTTCCTTTTCTTTCTACATTTCCTGCCAAGCAGATCCCGCCCGCCCAGTCAGCTGAAGCCATTCTCATATTTCATATGCATTGCAAAAGGAATATTTTAGCAATTACTTTTTTGGATAAGTAAACGTAAGTCAACACTCACTAGAGAAAACTATTTTTATCTTTTTCTTTCTTGGGTAGGAGGGAAATGTTATCCAAATTTATCTGTAGTAACACTTCTTTAAAGAAAGCTAAACGTTATTTTAGCAGCCCTTTTTCTCTTATATTATACTATTGTGTATAGGGATTTAGATAAGTCATTTTTAAACCAACTTTTAGCTTTGCAAGTGCAGTCATTACTTCTTGCTTACAAATCTGATTAGGAACTTTCAGGACTTACCTTGAGCATTTGAAGTAGCCCACAGAGTCAACAAGAAGGTTAGCCACAACAGGCTGCTCCTCAGTAGCATAACTCCTATGAATAAGCCAAAACATAAATGAATTAGGCAAATACTCCATGTCAACTGTAGACTGCCAGCTGTCACATGATATGCCCCAACAACACCTTATTTGGAAGCAATGTTTATGACTAATAGCGTATATCACTGGAATTTGTTTTCGAATATATTTATTTGTGGATTTTTTTTCTGGATGAAATAACATACTTGTGATTGGGGGTGTTGGTTGTAGCCGTGTTGGTCTAAGGACATAGGCAGCCAAGGTTCTTTGGGTAGGTGTGATATCTTCTATTAGACCAGCTAAATAGTTGGAAAAATTGTTCTTTGCAAGCTTTCGGGCACAAACACCCCTCTTCATGCATATAGGGAGTCTGCTGGTGAATTATGTGCTCTCATGGGTAGAATAGAAGCCAAAATGCAAAATGCAGGTCTGTGAAAATAAAAATGTGTGGCAGTGAGGATCAGAGGGGTGGAAGACAATAGGTATGAGACAGGTGCGGGGTGGGAAATACTTGTGATTGAAAGTTTATCTGCTCCTACTATTATTCCTTACTTGCATACATAGTCCTACGTTTATTACATCACAGTTGCTTGCTTGAGCTTGGTTTTGATGTCAAGAGCAAAGCATTATAACTTCATGTGTAAGGGGGATGTATATTTACATATTAAGACCCCCGTGTCCATACAAAGATCCCTAATAATAAAAGGGGAACAATATACAGAAAAGACATGTCACATCAGCAGAATTTTCTTTCTGGTTTTATTCGAGATGCCACCAAGTTTTCAAATGACAGAAGATGCACTATACTAGTGCTCCATTGTCACTCCCTTTTGAATGAGATATACAGTTAAATGCCTTGTAAGATAATTGCATTTCAAGTTCTATTTCAGCTTTTCAGTGTGTCACCATAGAAAATTTCTCTTTTTCATACATGCACGTGCACATGTACTTAAATTAAGATTTATCTCACAGCGCTGATGTATTTTTATTGGGTGTTTCTTTCATGTATTGCTGTATGGTTATAGGTGAGGAAAGTGCATGTGTGCATGTGCACGTGTGTGTTGTGCTGAATAGAATTAGCCCAGTCTGCCAGCTGTAATGCACAGACTGACTTTTCTGAATAACAAGGTACCACTGCTACTTTAAAAGCTCTCTAACCTATACACCAAAAGAGTTCAGGGCTACTTTCTGTCCCTCAGAAAATCAAACTTTCTATTGAAAACTCTGTTTGCTATTTCTACAAAACCATACTCAGCAAAAATGGGAAAATTCATAGATTGTAAGGCCAGAAGAGACCTTGGAAGATCATTGGGTCCAGCCCGCTGCACTAAGCAGGAAAGACAACTGGAGGTTAGGTGTCCCCAGCAAGGGGTCTTTTTCCCCCTTAAAAATCCCCTAACTCAGGTTTAACATCCCACCTACAAGACTAATCCTTTACAAATATGTTATTTTCCTTTTTGACCTTTATGCATTTGCCTTTCTAATGTGCACCCTACCTTAGAGCACAGTGTCCAAGGGGCAACAGAAAAACCAACGTGCCTTTCCATTGCTATCCACGCCTGCTTGTGTGATAAAATGCTATGTATCTAATGACCCTGCATCAAGAAAGCTATTAGTATAATATTTCCCACTGAAGATATACGGCTGTCCGGAGCGTGAGCGCATCGGGGATGCTGGTTGACACAAGGTACTCTCCACCAGCGTCATTCAGCTGTGCCCAAACCAACAACAACAACAAAAGGTGGCTGACAAAAGCTCAGCTGAGACAAGGAGACTGAAGAGGGGAAGGGAGGCAAAGGCAGACGGATCTCCCCACAGCAGTGTCCTGTAGCCACCTCATCACAGTCTACTGCAGTCAACTCGACAGTCAGCTCCGCTCACTCCAGCGGCAAAGTTTTCCAGCCTTCGCCTCCCTCCTTACCTGGCATGCAAGGCTGCAGGGATGCTCTTGCCCTTTGGAAAGCCCCCAATCAAATCCAACGGGGAGCGCGAGTGGGAGCCACCGGGGACGAGGCAGGGGCCACAAGCGGCGGGCTCCCTGCGCGGGGCAGCAGCGGCTCGGCTCCTCTCCAGTAGCTTTCGGCGGGCGGCTGCCGCCTTTTATAGCCTTGCCTTCCCGGCCGGGCTGTCAATCAGCCCCGCCAGGCAGCTTTTCGGAGCTCCTGCCTCGGCACCAGTGACATAATCCCCGGCTCGAGGCTGACCATTTGCTCTCGTCTACCTGGAAGGCGACTCCAAAGCCGCCCCCCGGCCCCGGGCCCGGCCAGGGGAGGAGCCAGGCAAACACCGGGACACAGAAAGGCAGGGTCGGCTCGGCGCCAACTGTCCCCGCTGCGCCGCCCCGCGCCCCGGCACTGGC